AAGTGTAATTAGAAGAAGATGGTTTGGAGGGAACACTTGTCTTCGATAAATTCTTTTTCAGGCTCTACAGTTATAAATCCATGAATATAAGAATACAAATAGCCAGCAAAGGCATGTGAAAATTATATCGGAAACTGTATGGGGGTACATGTATAAGATGAAATGATATTTCGCTAGTTAATATTGTCAACTGAATGTTTATAAAATGTACAGTCATTCAGAACAAGAGAGAGATTTTGAATGGACAACTGAGTGACATACTAATGTTATATCACAAGTGAAGAGAAGTTGGAATTCACGGGTCATTAAATTCTAACCCAAGTGGCTGAACAGTCAACTATCATGGACTTGTAACAGCAAGGTTCTTGGTTTGACCTCTGGTAGGATGGTCATGGATGTGCATTGAAGAAGTATCTCAAAGTAGAACGGAACAGCTATCCAGTGCCCGCTACTAGCTTTCAGTGATATCTATAACTCATGTTGGTTTGTAATGAAATCTTCATTGAAATTATGAAAAGAGGAGTATATCAGACATGTTGGCTACCGCGTATTCACTACTACTCACCATCTACAGCATTTGTTGAGAAGAAAGCCAAATTTTTCGTTTCCAAGGGATTATCATTTGTAAACTCTGGTGTACGTGACTGCGGTTCAGATTCACCAGTCAATGCAGAATTATCCACCTTGGGAATTAAAGGAAGAGTATATATTTATGGGAGTCATTTAACATATGATAAATATACAATAATTTTTAAATTTTCAATGCCGTATCATTTTATTCTGTTTGTCATAAATATTGCTCAGAATATCATTTGTTGTGAACAAGGTTGAATAGACTTCACTCCTGTCATCAGAATACTGTTATGTATTAGTTTGTATTATAGTATTTTTTTCGTGAAAAGTTCTGCCTACTATTTAATTGTACATAATGTTCGTGTTTTCCATCGAAGTAATTTATTAGAAGTAAGATTTTAAACTCTGAATTGAAATACCTTGAGATATTAATGCAGTACAACTTACACTCTCCACTATGTTGAAGAAGTAAAATCTTCCATCCAGAATATAACTTAAAACAGTCTTTCATCTGGAAATACTCTCCTGTGGCCACGCATTTACAGCCTCTATAAGTGGAGTTGTATTTACTGCTATGAAGAGGCGATAAATATTCTTAAAAAAGTGAAAGAGTCATTCAGAATGTCTGGTGTTTATTACCTGGGGAAGTTTGATTCTAAACAAGTAGTCTCTAGTAACCTTAAGAAAGAAGGCTGTATGAACCTCTATCTTGGTTACCAGACCCTATAAGAACTTAGGTTTTGAGATTACTCTGCAACTTCTTGGATTAGATTTTAAGTCAAAGAAGTAGAGTAGACCCTTAAGACAAGCATTTACTTTACATTATTTGTTTGAACAATAACTTTGTAACATTTGATTTCCGTCATATTCACTTTTTAACACAACACTCGATAGATAGAGTGAGGAGTTTTAATGGCAACCAATAAAAAGAACCTATTAGCCATCCTACACAAATTTAGGTAAACAGTAAGTTTAAAAGCTGCTATGCAATAGTTTAAAGTTAAACCTAGCATTATGTTGTTACTGATTGGCTGTAACTTGACTATAAGGTCTGATCATATACATTCTCCTCTTATTGTTTTTACTCACATTTGAATTTAGAACCTTTAACTATAAAGACCACAGTATTATTCCCAAGGTTTAATAGGCAGGTATTTATTACTATTTATTTCAAATCTTTGAATATTCCCATTAATAATATTAGTGCAAGACATATACAAACGAACAATATTGTTTTTTTCAATTTTATCTTCCTCGGGTTTTACTCTAATTTACATAGATTTATATATAAAAATTTTAGCAAATGACGGTAAGTTTGTGGATCAAATAATGCTGATAATAATAATAATTTTTAAGTATTGTTTTGTAGGGATTTTGTTTGATTGGTAGGAGGATTTCATCATGCGCTGATATCAGTGTAGCACATTGAAGATAAGGCACTGACTCATCGAAGAAGACACTGCGAAGTAGTCGAGCTATGTCATGAGTTGCAAGAAGTTAGAATTCATGGGCCATTGGATCGGGTCCCAGTGGCTGAATGGTCTACGAGCTCGCCTCATAACCGGAAGGTCCTGGGTTCGAACCCCGGTCGTGGGTGCGTTCTGACGAAGAGTCCCTAGCTAGGATGAGACAGCTGTCCAGTACTCCTAGTGTGGTGAAAGATGGTCGCTAGCCAAATTGGTTTACAGTAATTGAGGTCAAAGGTCAAGGTGGACAGGCGAATACAGTTAACATATAGTTGAACTGACGCAGCTACAAGATATGCAAGGTTAACTTTGTGTGAGAAGCAACCAATCAACAGACTGTATTTTCCACTAACATTGACCTACAATAATGTACATAAAAATCTATAAATACGTGTTGATTTTCCATAATAAACGATCTGTTGCCTGGCCCTTGTCTTCTGTTGTTACATTTGGTGTCGCTGCCTACCGACAAATGGAAAGCCTATGCCCTGCAGTTTTTGATGGAGACATATGGATCTTCGGGCAGGACTTCGAGGCTTCTTCGCAGTTGAGTGGCGTTCAAGATCTGTCAGCGATGAGGCTGCTACTTGGGACGCTGCTGGGAGGTCGGGAGAAAGCAGCATATGGAAGTGTGAGGCGAAATACCTACGAATGTGCGACAGGGTCAGGCAAACAGTTTCCAAAGTGGGAAGGACCATATATGGTCACGTTGAGATGGGGTTATGCAGACACAATCGCAATGGCAAACACAGAGAAGCAAGTGAACATCCGCAAGCGCCGAGATTTCAGACAGCAAGACAAAAGAGAAAAGCCCCAAGAACCAAGAAGACCGAACCAACTTCAGTCCAACCTATTTGACGGGGGGACGAGTGTGGTGAAAGATGGTCGCTAGCCAAATTGGTTTACAGTAATTGAGGTCAAAGGTCAAGGTGGACAGGCGAATACAGTTAACATATAGTTGAACTGACGCAGCTACAAGATATGCAAGGTTAACTTTGTGTGAGAAGCAACCAATCAACAGACTGTATTTTCCACTAACATTGACCTACAATAATGTACATAAAAATCTATAAATACGTGTTGATTTTCCATAATAAACGATCTGTTGCCTGGCCCTTGTCTTCTGTTGTTACACTAGGTTTTCCAATGTTTCTCTAACTGATGTCAGCTCATAATGAAATCCTCCAACCAATAATAATAATGTGGTAAATGTTTTAAACGTCCTTAATAACGATAACTATAATGATAACAAAATAATGATAATCAGGTTTATGCACGTGAAGATAAGAATAACGAAGGTAGTAATATGTGTATATGTAGACAATTCAATAAATAAATTAGGTCAAATCTTAAAAGGTACGTAATACTAAAGGTGAAGTAGACAGATAATCAGAGTTTAAATAAATATCACAAAAGTACGAAGAAAATGGAAAATAAGACAGGGTGGGAGGGTTTTAGTTAAACATTACCCAGGCCAAGGGAGAGACAAAGGTAGAACAAACTTCTTCTGTATGCAAAGACTAGGATTGTTCTCTCGAATTCCCTCAACTTTGGCTATGAGTAAAAGGCGGGTTCGAAAGGCTCGATGGAATGCTGTAGATAACTTTGAAGACAGTACTTCTGTCCACTTGGTGACCGCTGTCAATCAAATCAGTCAAAATACAATTTCTTATGGATTTTATTCGGCCTTTTCCGAACAATGAAGGAAGATGTTCGTTAATGTTGCATTTGTTGAGCTGTCTAGTTGTTAGCCCTATATAGCTTTCTCAGTAGGAGCAGCTAAATTTGTAGATACACATAGGGATGGCACAGCTGGGTAGCTTGTCTTTCGCTTGAGCAATCATGATTGGTCGGCTGGAAAATGGCAAACAAAGGTTGGCGGCAGTATAAGTCCATTTCATTGCTCTAGATAATCTTAGATGTAGGACTTCACTAGCCACGCCCCCATTAAATTGCAATTTTAGGAACAGTAGTCTCTTTTTAACTTTTGTCAGTTTCTCTTTATTATACCTGGTGTTCATGTGCCTGTCGCCTTACAAATTTACTAGGATCACCCATTTGAACCAGAATATTTTAGATGTGTCCTAATTCATTTCCTAGGGAGTCATCTGTACATATCCGTCTTGCTCTATTCGTGAGGCATCTGACCAAATTGATTTTGGATTTGATTGGTACAAAACTGGGGAAATGTGTATGTTGTCCTACATATATAGGTTTTCTATAGACTTCTCTCTTTAGTGAACCATCCTCTCTTCTAATCAATTGGAAATCAAGGAAGTGTAGTCTACCACACATTATTATTAATATCATCTTCATTATTTGATCCACAAACTTACCGTCATTGGTTAAAAATTTTATATATAAATCTACGTAGATTAGAGTAAAGCCTGAGGAAGATAAAATTGAAAACAACAATATTATTCGTTTGTATATGTCTTGTACTAACACAATTTATTTATCTAATTATACATCTCTTCGAACCAAAACTGATGAGAGAATGAAAGTTGATTGATATGTAACATGAAGATTACTACAGATTTTCTTATTAAGCAATGTTACTTTTCTAATTTATCAAAAGAAATTTTATTTTCATACTACTAATAATAATTAGTGATAAACGTAAACATACCTTGAATGAACTAGCTGTAATAATGCGTATATCTGCTGGAACACGATCGCCAAACTTCACTTCAGTTATATCGCCTACTACTAAATATTGTGCTTCGATTTCAATCTTTTTACCGTCTCGTATTACAAGAGCAGTCTAAAAACCAAAAACCAAGAAAGTGTATTGCGTTGTAGTTAAAAGTGGAGAATAATGAAATGTCATCAGATAGACCAAAATTTTTTTAATAGTTCCATTTGAGAGGAAAAAAGAGGAAGATGCTCAGCAAAGATGTTTTCGTCATGAGATTTCATCCTCAAAAGCTGTACAATCGTATTTTTATACATTGAGTTGTTGAGAAGAACACGAAACCAAGGCCCAAAATAGAAGAATGCAGTTCGGTGCCAAAGGAAATACTGTATATGAAGCTGGACTTCAGGGGCGACTAAGATGCAGATATCCTAAGGATGATAATCTCTAGTTCTCTAGAGAAAATCTTTCCTGCAGCGGCGCTAAGAGTGATATTCTGTAGTAGTCGAATGTTTCTAAGCAATGTGGACATACTTCCGCATATGACCACTCAAATGTGCACATAACAATTCACCTTCTTATGGAGCTCGATACATAGGTGGTTCTACGCCCATCCTTACTAAACGTGTTAAACAAACACTACCCAGCATGGCTACAAAGAGACGGCACTGGTTCAGTCAGAAGCACTATAACTGAACACCTCATTAGCAGCTGTCACAACGTCTCCAAAGACTCATCATGCAGAATCATTTACAAAACAGACAAAAGTCTACCAGAGCGAAAGTGTTTCCGACTTCTTTGTACTTCAGAAGCCTTCACTGTATATATTAAGAGTTTGGGGCCATATGTTCAAAATAAACTAGTCCAACCTTTTAATTTACCATGGATCCAGTTCTTTTTGGCTGCCTAGTTTTCGTTTGTTTGATGTTTTCATTTCCTTTATTTTTCATCTTCACTTATAAAGAAAACTGTTATTTCAATTTATTTCTAGCACAACCCATTGACATTATTATTACTGACTCCTTTAGTTTCTACAGGAACATAGGGCTTCAGCCACACGTCTCTCCCAACGTTTCCACCTGGCTCCACATTTGCCCATATGCTTTCATCTCCCCTTCGCATGACCTCCTCCATGTCACCCTCTCACTGACGACCATTCGAGTTCGACTCGAGCAATGGCCTGGCGTGTGATGTTACTTAATGGTTTTCTTATAGTATGACCAATCCAACTCCCTTTCTTCCTACATATTTCTTGAACAATCGGTTCCTGGTTAGTTTGCTCCCGGAGATCCATGTCGCTGATCTTTTCTAGCCATCTCATCTTCAGTATTGAGCGAAGATAGCTGTTGATGAAGTTCTGTAGTTTGTTCGAAGTGCCCATCGTGACGCGGCGCCAAGTCTCTGATCCGTATAGTAAGTAACACTGACTTCACATCAAAGTTGAAAATCCGGATCTTACTTTTCATGCTGAGTGCTGTTGATCTCCAAACAGACTTGAGAGTAATGAAAGCTTGTCTTGCTTTCCCGATCCTTGTTCTAAGATCTTCATCAGTTTCGCCTGTAGTTGAAACGATGCTTCCCAGGTAGGTAAAGGAAGTTGCTTCCTTCAGATTTCTCCCATTTATGCTGATTGTTATCAGTTGTTGTTGCTGTTGGTGTTGTCCAGGAATCTTCATCACCTCTGTTTTCTCTATGTTCACCTGAAGTCCTATCTTTGATGCTTCTTCTGCCAACTTGTTGTCTATTCACTTGCATATTTTCCAGTTTTCTGGGAAATCAGACATATATCATCGATTGATATACTATCCTACTATATTTGAATCCTATGGGATTTTGTCTTTCTGGCACTTGTGATTTACATTCACACTGAAATTTTCATATCAGGTTGAAAAGTATCATCACCTTTAATGTCCCTTGGTTAGCATGTTTTGAATTGAATAATAATTTTATTTATTTTTTTATTATTTTGATTACAGCTTGATGCCACACCGTATTTTCAGTACAAGTATGGAATTTTCAGCACGGATATCGGTAGTCCGAATTTTGCAGGCCGACCATAGATATCAGGGTGTGCGTCGGCAGGGGATCGAACCCCGGACCATGTGCATGGTCGGCGAGAGCCCTAACCACTGTGCCACCAACGCACGTAACTACGCAAACTTATGCATATGAATGCAATTGTACAGCTTTTGAGGATGAAATTACCGAAAAAAGTTTTACCGAGATTCTTGTTCTTTTCCCTATAATGGCCTGATACTTGTTTGTATTTTATTCTAATTCATAACTTTTCCCACCCATGAAATATGTTTATTTCTGTATGTTCAAAACCCACCTTCTCTTATTTGGTCGATAATGAAGGCAACAAAATTTTTGATTCACTGCAGAGATAAAATGATGTAGGATTTAGTAGAAAAGTGTATCAGTCTAAGTATTTACACTCCAAAGAGGAAGTGAGTAATGAAATGCCGGACAAACAACCCTGACTGACTTCAATGACTCAGGGATTGACTTGTTACCAGGGTATAATTTCGTCGACTTAGAATATGCAGGTGATATAGTCCTTCTAGGGGAAGATGCCATCTCTGGCTTAGTAGACGTGGTATCCAGTTGTCGACCGAAGGACATGTGTACTGCTTAACAGTTCTCTCCATCCTCCTTTATGGATAGGAGCAAAACATGGACATTGAGAGTGCAACATATGAAAAGGTTGTCTTTGATTATAGATGTCTGCCCCCTATCTACCGCGTTTGTTGAGTGACATAATAGGGTGAGCAATATTGAGGTTAAGCGTTGAGTTCTGGGTAAGGAAAGGAAATCAATTGACGAAGTTGTGAAGTTACACTGATCGAGAGAGATAGCTAGGACATGTGTTACGCGTGTCTAGCCATTGCCTACCTCGACAATGGGCAATGATAGGTGACATACGATAAGGTTGGAAAAGAGCTAGTGGTGATCAAACTAAAACATGACTTCATCAGCCAATGAAATACGCAACAGTTAGTTTAAGCTGGCCATCTACATAGGGAAGTGTAAACTTCCTGGCGGGGATGGTAAAAACCAATGGCTTGAGACAATTGATAGTATGGCTCCAAATCGTTCTCAATGGTGCAGACGCATTCACTCCTTGTGATTCATCATATCCAATAAAACTTTATTGTTTTTTCTTATTACTATTCTTTTTGCCTCATATTACTCCTTTCTTTTGCTTTGTGTGGCACATCGAAAGAGAGAGTGTGTGGCAACTGCTGCACATTTGTGCAAAGTTCCATATTGAAACCAGTTAGTCAGACAAACAAATAGGATGTCTGAGATATCGTAGTAGACCAAAAAGATTCTAAGAATGCTCATAATATTGAAAACTCAATACAATAACTGCATTCATATCTTATTCTAATCAGTTTCAAAGTGCTACAATAAGCTTTCAATGATTGGTTATGCATACTTCTAAGAAGTGAATTCAAACAGCCGATTACTTTGTAAACAACTTAAATAAATAGTCAGTGACTTCATTAACTGTTATGTTTACGAGGAATTTGTCGATTACAAAGCCATACCATATTTGAAGGTTAAATACGAACTGAAGCTAGCTAAAGAACCATTGAAAACCAGGTAGTACTGGACAGTTGTTTCGTCCCTACCTAGGACTCTTCATCAGTAGGCAACCATGGCTCCATCCATCAAGAATCAATCCCGGGACCTTCAGGTTACAAGGTGAGCTGGTATAACATTCAGTCAGTAGGACAGAATCCAATAGCCCGTCAATTCTTACTTCTGAGAATTTCTGATATCTAGTGAGACCTCCTGCCAGTGTTACCGGCGAGTATTTATCCTCATATACAAGTTGGGGCACCCTGCATATCACGACTTTCCATTGGAACTACAAACAAATTTGAATTCTTCTGACATTCAGTTTATTTTATGTTGATGCTGTTCAGCTGTAATCTTTCAGTATTATTGATTTGATGTTATTTCAACATTAATGTCGTTCATAAGACTAATTCATTCGTTCATTATAATGTATATATAATTGTAGAACTTGAAGATGAATTTATCGAAAAGAGTACTCTTTGTTCCGTGTCCATCCTTTTGAAGATTTGATTTGTTTATCGAGTTTGATCACGGGCTGATATTAATTAGAGAACCACTGAAAACAAGCAAGGAGTAGTGGACAGCTGTTTCATCCTAGTTCGGAAATCATCGGCAGTATGCACCCACTGGGTTTCGAGCCCAGGACCTTCCTGTTACAAGGCAAGCTCGTATACCATTCAGCCACTGGCACCCAATTCATTGCCCCACTGGGGTGCTGCTGACGATTCCCAAACTAGGACGAAACAGCTGTCCAGTCCTCCTTGGTTTTCAGTGGTATCAATCAGTGATCAAACTCGAAGAAAATTTATTATTGAAAGTTGTATTTTCAAAGACATTCTGAAAAAGTACTACATACATACTATCACATAAATGAATAAATAATAATCATTAAGATAATCAGTACAAACTACAATTTTAATTAGCAATTATTACTTGTGGAACCATCTTTTTGAATGAATCCATGATACGTGATGATTTCGACTCTTGATAATACGAAAAACAACCGGTAATCACAACCACGGCTGCCAAGACGATACCAAGATACAACTATGTAAACAAAAAAGGGAAAAGAAAGAAGAAAATCAATTTAACAGTGCTTCTTCTTATGGGTTCCCTTTCATCGTATACAACAAAAAAATGAAAGTCATATTACTGGAAAAGACTCACGTTTTCTTTATCTTCATGATAGATAGAAATGTTTTCTTTGAAAAATAAAACCATATTTAAACATTGTGAGAAATTAGAATATACTCGGAGTATTTTGCCCCATACTTTTTATTATTTGGTTTCTGAATCGAATCAAGCCTTTAAGCTTGAGCATTGAAGTCTCAGTAGCGGTGGTTTTCACGGGGTAGGGTTGCTAACCCCACGCCAAACCTTCCATTTTTACTCGGCTTACTACTGGCTAAGCGATGTTTAGCAGTGAGGCGGCAGGGGAACGAGCCTCGAACCACGTGTAGTGTGGCTGGCGAGTATTCTGCCACTGAACTACCGATGCACATTTCGTATTACACAAAGTTCATCAGCTGAAGAAAAATACATTTAGTATGACTGATTTCAATAGACATTTAGTCTGCTCGCTAAGCATTTGTATTAGATATAGGAATATTTTTCTTGTTATACCCATAGTCAAGTGGTGTAAAATAAAATTATTTAGAATAAATGACACCTGTCGCATAAATAAGTATACAGTTGGATCCCTTCCATGGGTAACTTATTACATGCAACCATTGTTGTTTACATAATCACGACAGTACAACATGAGTGACAGCATAGAATCGAGTAAAAAAAGACATTAGACCAAGTTGTCTCACTGAATAGCAACAAAAACGAAAATCAACAAAAAGTAGATTACGAGAATAGTCAAGATAGGTAATGGTAGACGATGAGTATGAAGTTATCATGGATACTTGTGAACATTTGATTTTTAAGACCATTAAAGTTTTCTAATTGTTTATACCTAAAACTTTATTATCTTCACTTGACTAGCTGACATCCATTTCTATCTATACTACTGTGAAACTACACATCTAAAATCGCTGTAGACACCTTAACAACATTCGATCCACAAAGCTTAAAGAGAGATTGTATGATGTTGAATAGTTGAAAACATTCCGTAGAAAGGAAACTCTAAACCTAGGATTCCTGCTTGTCAGCATAGCTTATTTGTAACCTTGAGAAAACTAACATCCCCCACTCAGATTTGAACCCGAATAGCTCAGTAGTAACGTCTCTGACTGGGTTCATATCCCAGAAGGGGACTTAGTGCCTTCAGGGTTACAGATACTCCTTGCCTACGACGGACAAAAAGCACGAAACCTAGGTGCAACGTTCCCTTCCAATTACCTCTCACTACCTAACATCAATTCACAATGCAGCACGATGGCCATTCACCTAGCTGGATGACCCCATTGCAAATATAACTGACAGAATCTAATCAGCACCAACACCATGGACTAAAAACATAACATTGATTTATTCCCAATGACCAGCCAATGTAGAGATTATATAACTCTGCATTGACATCAGTGATCCAATAGAATGGAAATTCTGACTTCAATTTTTTAACGACACTCGTGCGTTAACTCCCCAGTTGATTAATTAGGTCTCCTTTTTGTTCTGTAGGTTTTTAAAGCGCTACATAATACTACAGATATTCTTTTAATAGTATAATTTAAAACTTTTATTCAAACCAAAATACCTCATAAGTAAACTAGTCATTACTGACACGAAGAAGACAGGATCAGGAAGTAGATCCATGGGGTTCTGATTGAGTGTAAACCAGTTGCATCACAAGTTAATATAAATTGAAGAATAAAACAGTACCAAACAACTAATTTGATCCAATATAAGACTTTTTAACGATGCTAACTCGCCACCTCATGGGGGTTTCACATCACATGAACTTCAGAATATTGTGATGAGTAAGACACTATTCACATTAGAGATCTAATGATCATTGAATAACCCCTCCCCATAACTTCATTGTACATAATTTTGATACACCTCAAAAACTACGTTTGATTCTCAGTGATTCACTATATTTCACCAAATAAAAATTTGCCAGAAAAAAAACAACAACATTTTGAGTTTTACTATAGTTACCAATACTCTACTACTATTGAAAACTGTGACAAATGAGCGCCAAAGATTAATTCTGATTGACTAACATTTTTCTTTAAATGCAGAGAAATTCTTCACGTTTTTTCTTTTTCAGAAGAAGAAGTTAATAAAGTCTTTTTTAGTCAGAAAAACTTTGATATATATTAGTTAGGCTTAAAAAATATATTCTCAATGTGTTTTCATATCGGCAAATGACTGACTACTGATTTACACGTGATTTTAGTTAGTTTTGTGTAGAATAATACAACGTTTTGAATGTATTTCTACAATGAAAGTCAGTTTATTCAAAAGTGATGCTTTTTTAGCCTTGTTGAACAAATTGATTATTTGGTTTTTCCTAACAGTAAGGTGTTTCTAACTTCATAAGTGAAAAAGTATGCCATAATTATTTAGAACTCTGTAGTTTACATGAAGTAATTTGGGGGACGGTGACTAGCATTTCTCCCCCACCTTGAACTCATCATCCGGGTGCACCTGTACTTCCTGGTGAGACAAGACTCGAACTCAGTATCCGTAGTCTTAAATGCCACAGTTTCATCCACCAAGCCACCTGGGTTACGATAGTCACCTCACTGCAGGTATACCCAGTTGGCGAGTCCCAAATAGGAGGAGGAAATGAGCATCCTGGATTTCACTGCTAGTTACCATCCACCAAATTACTTCAAGTTATTCCTCAGACATCGTTATAGCATCCATACTATGGGGACAACATGCCAACAGATGCCGAATATTTTGGCCTAATCAGTCAACAGGAAAATCTACAGTTTATAAGCCCAATGAACATAAATTTCAGCTGATTTCACTTAGTACCGATAGAATTATTGAGTTTACACAAGAATGAGGTAAACACGTTCATAGAGGCATAAGATATATGATTCCAATCTTGAAATAATGATGTGACTGTACTGAAGCCATAATATAGTTTCTGAGTCGAGATACTTTGTAGGACTGCATGATCACATAAAAATGGATTATTTTCCGGGGGAACTGAAACTAATATTATGCTAAAAGAAGAGACAGTTCGAATATGCAATTAATAGTGTTCTCTGAGCTGGTTGGTTCAAGTATCTTCAGTGTTCATCTAATTTCGATGTTCTGGAACTTTCCCATCCATTTGATATAAATACACGAATGTACAGCCTAGATGATGACTTCGTCGAAAAGAAAATTTTCTTCGCTGCAACTGTCTTTTTATTCCCTATGATCAAATGTGTATATTCCGTGAATATAATACTCCCTCTCTCCTCTTAAAAATGCTTATGATTTGATATTCATTAGTTGATTATACCGTAATCAGTGTTATTATAAAATGAGGTTTCAAATCTTGTGTTATATTAGACCTATGCTAAATAATAATATTTTAATGACACTGCTCAGGCGTGAGGCTAGCAACCCCACTCTGTAAACAAAGTTGCTACAGAAACTTCAGCACGATGAATCTCCTTGCGCCAAAAGAAAAAGTCTGTGTGGGGACATGGGACGTCCGCACCATGTAAGAGATTGGCAAAGCTTCCCAGATTGCAAACGAGATGAAAAGATGCAGAATTCAAGAACTAGGAATATGTGAAAGCAGATGGAACGGGAATGGACTCACCAAATTGTCAACGGGAGAGTCATTGATCTACTCCGGTTACCCAGAAGACAACCACATGCACACAAAGGCCCTGATACAATGGGAGGCGATCTCGCCCAGGATAATGACCGCCAGATTCAACTCCAAAGGAAGGAAAGTGTCATTTATACAATGCTATGCACTCACAAACAACGCAGACCTCGAAAAGAAAGAAGAATTCTACAGAAAACTACAGGCGACAATGGACAATACTCCAGTTGGTGACATTAAAATACTAATGGGAGACATGAACGCCAAACTGGGTCGAGACAACACAGGAAGGGAACTAATCATGGGTAAAGAAGCTCTCGGAGAGATGAGCGAAAATGGAGAACTCTTCGCCGACTTCTGCGCCTTCAGTGAACTAGTGATTGGTGGCAGCGTATACAAACACAAAGATATCCACAAGACTACATGGGTGTCACCAGATGGGCGAACCGAAAACCAAATTGACTTCATCTCAGTCTCAAGGAAGTGGAGACGTAGCCTACTGGACACAAAAGTAAGAAGAGGAGCAGACGTTGGCTCAGACCACTATCTCGTACAAGGGACAATCCAAATCAAACTAAAAGCTTTCAGAGAAGCAGGAGCTGCAGATAGACCACAAGCCAAGTTCAACACTCAAAGACTGAAGGACCAGGATACAAAGGACATCTTCACTGCAAGCATAAGGGAAGAAGCCGAGACACACATCAACACTGGCGAAGAGGTCAGCGTCGAAAAGCACCGGGACAACCTGAAAGCGGTGTGGAGTGAAACCTGCATGGAAGTTCTGGGCAGAAAGAAGAGACAGGACAAACAGTGGCTCACTACGGACACTTGGAGACTAATAGAAGAGAGTAGGATGGTGAAACAAAAGATTATCCAGTGCACCGACGAGCAACAAAAACAGGAGTTAAACGCAAGCTACAATACACTGAACAAAAGAGTAAAGAAGAGTGCCAGGGAAGACAAAAGAAAATATTATGAAGCCATGGCAAGTGAAGCACAACAAGCTGCAGACAAAGGAAACCTCGCAACACTCTACCAAACAACTAGGTACCTATCGGGCAAAAGTTCGTCACAAATTAAGCCAGTGAAGGATGACAATTGAAAGTCAATCACCAAAGAGGTGGAGTGAAGGAAACACTGAGCTGAACACTTCAGGAGACTTCTAAATCGACCGCCACCTACAACGCGCCCAATAATACTAACAACTGAAGCAGAATTACCAGTGAACATCAACTCCCCGACGAGAACAGAAGTCCTGAAGGCAATCAAGATGCTAAAACTGGAAAAGCAGAAAGACCAGATGGAATCCCAGCAGAATCAT